TACCCCTGTGAAGCGAGAGGCAAGAACTGGGAGAAGATATGAAAAGGGTTATTGAATGGGTGATGGTTTGTCTTCACTAACCAGCTCTCTGTCCTGGCCTCTTACTAGGTGCTGGAATTCAATAAATAATAATTGAAATTTTATTATTTAAAAAAAAAAAAAAAAGGCGGCTAAATTTCCCTTGGAATTTGTGGCAATTAAATAAAAGTTCTTAAATCTCAGTCTAGGTGAAAATCCAGCCTGGAATATGTCTCAGAGACAATAGTGGTTCTACATTAGTGATCACGGCCCTTGTAATCCATCCCCAGACACTGGCACGAGCGCTTTTTGTTCCTCTGGGGATGTGCACCCCCATTTCCTTTAACCCACTGCCATTTGCTCTGTGACAGCACACCTGATCCACTTTGTCATTCTCCTCTTTGTTGCAGGAGGTCCCCGAGATGCCCGGCACGGGCCATCTGACGAGATCCCACTCGGAAAATGCCATTTCTGTGAAGGAAATTATCACGGAGATAGAGTCAATCAACCAAGCAGCAGGACCTGCCCAGCAGAAAGAGGGTTCAGCCAACCTCACCCAGACACCAAAGAGGAACACGGTGCATGACCTGCCAGTGGAGGCCATTTGGGCATTGGAAAAGGTGGAACAGAGCGAAGGAGCCTCTGCTGGACACCAGGAAAAGGAAAAGGACCCTCTGCAAGCTGAGCAAGAAGCTGCCCCCTCCCTGCAGCCATCTTCTGGTAAATCAGACCCAGAGGAAAGCATCCCTGGGGTGGAGCAGCAAGAGCCTCGTGGTTCCATCAACCCTGAACCCAAGTGGTGTCCTGGCTCTGTCCGACGAGCCACCCTGGAGTTCGAGGAGCGCTTGAGGCAGGAGCAGGAGCACCAACACGTCTCCCCGGTCTGCGTCTTACCCACCCGCAAGAACTCCAGGAATGACTCTCCCGCCACTGAGCTCCTGCCGCGGGGGAAGAGCGAGGAGCCACCCCTGGAGCTGGCTCTGGAGGGTGACAAGGCACAAGGTCCAGGTGCTGAGGAGCTGCTGCTGCCTCCTGGGGCAGAGCTGCCTGTGGGCAAACACCTTCCTGCACCCACGGTCCCACCAGCGCTGGAGTCCCTGCCTGCAGAGCCCAGCCCGGGGCAGGAGGGACCGGCACAGGAACGCAGGACAGTGGTCTCTTTTGATGGGACGGAGGAGCCATCCCTGCCCTCTCTCCTCCCAAAGAGAATTGAAATCATCGAATACACTCCCATGGTCAAGGCTGCGGAGCGCCCCGATGCAAGCTGTGAGCAGGGCGGGCTGGCCACAGCCATCCCCTCTTTAGATGAAAACTTGAACCCTTCCTTGTGCTCGGAGAAGGCACCAGCCTGTCCCAGAGCCCCCACGCTGGTCGGTCTCTCGCTGCCGGAGCACGCGGTACGCAAGCAGGACACCTTCACTGGGGGCAGCCAGGAAGGTGGTGGGTTATCTCTTCACCTCGGTGCTGCTTCCCCCTCTCCACAGGTGACCTCTACACCTTCAGCCAGCCTCGATCGTTCTTCTCCCCCCTACGTCATTCACCTGGAAGGTGTCACCGAGCAGAGCACGGGTACAGACGACGAGCCGGTCACGCCGGGTGGCATCAAGGGAGATGCCACTCTCCCATTCAGGGACAGACCCCAGCCCCTCTGCACCTCGAGGCAGCTGAGTGGTGAGGACTTCACCAGCCAACATGTGGAAAGCATGGACCTCCTGGACATCTCCTTTGTGTGTTACAGCCTCCCCCACAGCTCCAGCAGCCACAGCGTGGAGGAGCGCAGCAACAGCCCGGGGTTGGTCAAGCAGCGAGCGAAGGAAATAGAGGCTCGGATCCGGCACGCGGGGCTCACCACACCTTCCCACATGAAACGCTCGGCCTCCTTGGCCAAACTGGACTGCCTGGACCTCTCCAAGGACGACTTATCCGTGAGGGAGTCGGCCTCTTCCGATGCCAACCCGGTGCTTCTCACCTGCGTCGCCCTCGGTCAAGGCTTTCGCGGAGGGAGGTCGGAGAAGGGTTCGGAAAGCACTTGTGGAAAACATCACCTTTCCTCCCCGGAGCCCACCAGGCATTTTGTGGAACAGCTCAGAACAGCCGAGTGCATTGCCCAGAGCAAGCCGGTGGAGAGGCCGCTCGCTCAATACGCCAAAGAGTGCGGCTCCAGCCAGCAGAGTTTGTTTTCCAGCGCGGATCCCAGGTGGACTAGCTCCGAGGAGGGTCCTCCGCTGCTCCAGGTGCAGCTCCTGGACTCCTTGTCTCCAGCTCAAGGTCTGGCTGTCACACCCCGGCAGCAGCACGGGAGAACTCACCCTCTGAGGAGGCTCAAAAAGACCAATGATAAAAAGCGGACAACCAATCCCCTCTACAATACTATGTGATCCTGAGCCCTGGGCTGTGATTTCTTACCGAGAACCCGTGGCGTTGCGTTCACGCAAGGGGCAGGTGTAATATAAGGAACATGCACTTTATTGGTTAATTTTATATATATTGTCATTTTACTGTTCCTGGCGCATGTAGGTGTGGGTTGGTTCTTCTGTGTGTGACTCTGACTGCAGGACTGTTTGGGTTTTTTTACGTTTTTTAACTCAGATAACCTCAAATGTTCTCTTTTTTTTTTTTTTTTTTTTTTTTTTGTTAGTTTGTTTTAAAAGAACACCTTTATCATGCGAAAAATTGATGCTGGCTTGCTTTGGCAAGGTGGAGTTTTGCTTAGAACCAGATCTTAGTTCCTAACTTGAATTTTCCCCATGCCTCGAAATGGTGCTGGGCAGTTGTTGGGGTGAGAGCCCCCCATAAATGTGAAGGCTGTGCCAAGGTCCCTTTCTTTGGCCTTTCTTTTATGTCTGCAAACTGGAACTCCATGATGCTGGCAGATCCCTTGCAAAGCTGCTTCAGGACAGACCCCCTGGGCTCGGTTTGGTTGGTCCATCCCCAAAAGGAGCACATGGGGTGAATCCTCCTGAGGGATGGGCTCGGAAAACCCTTGGCCTGGCACTGAGATGAGATCTCACCTCCCGGTGTGGGTCACACAGAGCCCCCCATTTGGGGTGAGGTGGAGCCAGAGCTCTTCTACTGGGCCAACCTTGCCTCTCCTCGGCTGCCCTGGCCCAGCGGGTGAGAGGAGGAGACCCCCCCCACCCAAAACCATAGTGTTCTTTTAAAACAAACGCCTCGTTTAGGGTTTTAACCCTCCCATTACTTGAATACTGCTGTGGGCCTTCCAAGTTCATGGCCATATCATCTGTCCTCTGCCCTCCTGCTGCCTCCCCCCACCCCAGCCCGAAAGCTGTTGGTGTCTCGTGCTGCCTGGGTTTCCCTCTCCCCCCACCCCAACGCTCGCAGGCACTTCTGGTCTCTCCCCAACCTGGAGGCTCTTGTCATTGTTACACGACATTGCCCCTACCGAATGCAAAGCTTTGTCCTCTCTGCTCTCACTCCTAACACTCGACCTGGAGGGAAGATCTTTTCTGGAAGTTTTTTCTTTTTTTTTTTTTTTTTTTTTTGTTTTTTGTTTTGTTTCGGTTTTTTTTTTTTAAAAAAAGGGCAAGACTGCATTCTGTAAACTGGAAAACAAAACCACCTTACTCCAACTCAATGCTGTTCGTTGTGATCTGCACAGAAATGAGAGTGGGTTTGACGTTGTCAGCTGTCTTCCCTTTCCAAAAGTCAGCCTGGATGCCAGCCTTTGCCAAACGTGTCCCTTCTCCTCTGGTCCTGTGTCAACCCCCATTACCCCACTGCGGGAGGACGACTGTGTGTCTGCCCATCTCCCTCCCTCTTGAAGCTGGGTTTCAGAAGTGCCAGTGGGACACGGAAAGCCACCAGCCGCTCCGAGCCATTCTGCAGGTTCTCGCTTCCCTGGAGAACCTGCCTTTTGAAGGGTCTGCTCCAAATTTTAGTGAATTATTTTACGGTTCTCGGGCTCGATCCAAGCTCCTTATTTCCAGGCCTGTGTATCAGCAAGTTGTACGTGTGCTGTGGGGGCAGAGAGAGAGGCTCTGGGTTCTGTCTGCAGCCCCGTGGCAGGTCTGTGGCAGAAGCAGCGTGTCTGAGCTGGTGTTTTGGGCTCTGGCCCAGACCTGCCCTCCGGGGAGGAGCGAAGCAGAGAGAAGATGCAGAATGGCTCCAGCTGCTGAAAGCCCAGCATGGAAGAGGACGCGGTGTGGGAGGAGCAGCAGACGAGGCCGTGCCTAGAAAGCAGCCCTGATGCTGCAGAGCTTTGCAGCTTCCAACGGGACAAGCTCATCTTGAGCTGGAGAGGAGCACACAGCACTAGAGTGCTATGGAGTATTTGGGAAGCAGCGTGTCTGCCCTGGGGTCGGGGTGTCTGTAGCCCCCCAGCTTGCCCACGACCATCAGCAGGTGATATCTTAGCAGTTTGCAAGGTTAGTCCCACCTTGCTGCCCTCCTGTAGCTCCCAGGGATCCTCCTGCCCTGCAGCCCGGGCACGGGGCCGTGAGCGTGTCTGTCCTTCTCCAGAAGGAACGTGTGCTTCATCCCTCCCCAGGAGCTTCAGCTCTGCTGGGGGGGTTGTCACCTGTGCTAGCCACAGGCTGGAGCACAGCCCAAAGTAGCCCAACAGAGTCCTGTCCTGGGACAAATGGCACGTCATCCCAGGCCATTTCGGTCGCCAGAAGTCACCCAAGTGCCTGGCCCGGGAGGCCAGATACTTCTTTGGGACGCTGAGAGACATGTGGCTTCTCCCAGTCAGCTCCAGCTGGCTTGGGAGCTGGGCAGAGAGAGTCTGGAAAGGCCAAGTGGCTCATGTCATCTTGTGAAGGACAATTTCAGTCCTTGCCTCCCCCGCAAACCTCACCAGAGCCTGCTGCCCACCATTATTCCTGACTCAAGGACATATCTGCCTGGCGACGGGGTGCCACCAAGCCTGCCCTGCGTTGGAGGGAGCATGCTTGGCTGGTAACGTGTCCTGGTGACAAGGATCTGCTTGGGAGGGGAAAGCCCTGTGTATAATTTGTTCCCTTGAGAAGGGAGGAGGAGGAGGAAAGAGGATTTGGTTTCTTTGCCCAGCTTGATCTCAGGAGAAATGCTCTATAGGAAGGTTCTTCCACGCAGACTAGAAACGCTGCTTCCTTCCAATACTCTGCTGCTGGCTGGGTGCTCCAGCTGGGGAGAGCAGCGAAGGGACAAGGGCCCTCGCAGGGAGGTGCTTTGTTGTCCCCTTGTCCCCTAGCCCAGCACAACTCTGTTTTTTCTCTGGGAAGCCTGTGGACAGGCGGAGGGAGACAAGGAGGGTGGTTCTCTTGCAGAGTTATGAAGGCCTGGAGGTCTGGAGGCTCTGACCTGGATGGTAGGAAGGGGAACGGGCTGGAGGGACGTGTGGCATGTGGCTCTCGGGGAGCCCTGGCTCCTCTTTGGCCAGTGTCTGGGCAATGAAGGCACCAAGCCCCTGGCATCAGAGCTCTCTGCCTGGAGATGGTTGTCCCTTCTCCATGCTGGTGGCTCATGGGTGGGTGGTGGCTCGCTCCTGGTTCTGGTGGGTGCCCCCCGAGAGCTTCATGTGACCTGCTGGGGTGGGAGCAGCACCCCCAGGCTGCTCAGCAGCCGACAAGCCTCGCTTGGCAGAGGGGTTTTAGGAGAAACGTGTTGTTTTAAGGGCATTTTTTGTACAAAGCAACTGTTCTTTTGGTCTCTTGCAAAGCCCTCGTGGAGGACGCTTTATTGTTTACATTGACTCCTGTACAATATCTCAGCCATCGCCTCCCCCCTTGCCCTCCCCCCCACCCCCTCGGGCTGTACTGTAACGTGTGAGCCTTGCACAAACGGATAGCGTGTGCGTGAAACTGGTTTTTACACTGCGTTCTGTTGCACTCGATGGTGTGTGTGTGTGTGCGTGTGTGCGTGTGCGTCCGGTCTGCTTGAGAAGTTGTGACATGTACAAATCTCTCCCCTGTCGGCCTTTTCCCCCCGGGGGGGCACGGTCCCAAGGGGGGTGGCAGGAGGGTCAGGAGGTGACGCCGCTTCACGTGGATGTGAAATGGGGCAGGGATTAGCTCCGTGCCCCTCTGCCAGCAAAGGCCTGGTGGAAGGTGTCCCACCCCAGCTCTGGCTGCTGCTGGGGACCTCCTGGGAGGAGCGACCCACTGGGAATGGGCATGGGCACCGGGGCACTGCATCTGCCCGTGGGCTCCGAGACCCCCTGCAGCCTTCCCAGTACCCACCGCAGGTCCCTGCTCCCCTCCTGGTGTGTCCTGCCTTAACCTGGTCCTAGCTCCATGCAAACCCCCACACTTCTCCCAGGGGAACCCCCCCGACCCGAGCCCTCGGTGGTGTGGGGCAGAGGCAGGCGCTGGAGGGGTCCGGGCTGGGCAGAGGGCTCTCGGTTGCCCTGTGGCAGTGCTGCCAGCCCGCCCGCACTGCAGACATCTCTGTTGGCACGGAAGAAGGTGCCAGTGCCTTTTCTTTTTCCTTATGGAGATGTGATGGCCGTGTGCTGGTTGGTAGGGACTGTCACCCCGGGGACGGCTGGTGGTGGAGTCACAAACCGGGCAGGGGAGAGCTTCTGTCTGCCCCTCCTGCATCTTCCTTGGTGGCTGGGATCGCCCCCTTTCCTCCCCTAAAGACTTTATGACCGATGTGCTCAGCTGTTTTTAAATGTGAACTTGTGCACTGATGTGCAGATTCAATGTTCTTGTTACCGGATGAATAAAGTTTTATTTTGAAGATGATACGGACGTGCTGCCTCCTGTTTTGGGGTCGGGGCTGGGGGCCATGAGCGATCCGGGCAGCAGGGGGGTACTGGGGAGCTAGAGTGGGGTGGTTCACTCGTGTCTCCTGCCAGAAGCGTAGATGGATCCATCCTGTCCCAGTTGACCTCCTGTGCAGGGGCTGAGGAGCTCTGCACCCAAGGAGATGCTCTGCACCCAAGGAGATGCTCTGCACCCAAGGAGATGCTCTCCCAGCTCCTGTTGTGGTCACGGGGAAGATGCCAGGGGTTGTGTGTGTCAAATTCGGGATGCTGTGGGTACCCTTACTGCACGGCTGGCTGTAGGGAAGGTCCTGGGGCTTAAGCTTCAAGGAGGATGCGAGGTTTTAGCCAGACCCACCATGGCCCACCCAGGAGCTGAGCCCAATCCAAGCATCAAGCAACCGCAGTGCAAGTAGATCTCTGTTGGGCGATGGCCCATCTCCTCCATTGTGTCCCCTGTCGTGGCAAGCGAGTGTGGCACGAAGGTCTCCCCAAGCTCCCTCTGGCCTGTGTGCCCCTGGGGAGCAGTAAGGCTGTGGGCAAAGGGGGGCACAGAGACTGCTAAATCCCCTGGAACTCAGCCCCACCGTCCCTGCATGAAGCTTCAGGGCTGAGTGGGCACCAGGGTGTGGGGCAGGGGGTGGCAGTGTCCCTGGGGTGCCCTGTCCCTCCAACTCCTTCCAGCAGCAGCTGGGAAAAGGGTTCCTAGGTCCTTTTCTCTCTTTGCTAGGGATGTGGCTTGGAGTTGGGGACAAGGGACATGGGACTTGTGCCATCCCTGAGCTCCAAAGCCATGACCGTGGTGGGACGGGGCAGGCAGGGGGTGCCTCTGCAGCCCCCTCCCTGCCACCCCTTTGGCTGGGTGAACAAGGATGTCACCTTTTCCCTGCCTTTTTGCCAGCTGCCCCCTCCTGCCCGGCTCAGCCAATGTTTGTCCGGCTCCGCTCGGTGGCCTTGTAGGGTCCAGGGCTTTGCTGCCTTTCCAGGAACCACGGCTCCCCTCCCACGGGTCCCCAAGCCCTGCAATCCCTTAATCCCCTTGGGCCAGGGCATCCCTGCGGGGCTGGGCTCCGCTAAATCCCAAATCTGGCTTCTGAATGTGCCTGTAACCACCCCTCTGTGCAGGGCCGGGGCTGCCGTGGGCTCCCCCCCACGGGGTTGCAGCCCCCTTGCCCCCGGGGGGGGAGATGGTGAGCCCGTGGGGTGGCCATGGGTGTGGGGACCCCCCAGGCCAGCCCATGGCGAGGGTCTCTGTGGGGCTGGGCTGGCCCCATGGTGCAGGGGGGGACACATCATAGCCCTAAGGATGCCCAGCAGCCCTGTGCCCCACTTGAGCCCTGGGTGGAGGTGACCCCGGGGGGG